TTTCTGTCAAAATTTTTACTATTTTAGTGAATCATTCTACTGACAATTTTATTACTGCTGCTAATATTCTCTTTTTGTTTCTTTCTCTGCAGGAAGAGTGTACCATCTGGTTTTTATGGCATAGCATCTCAAATCAAACTGCTAGTAGACATGCCAGAGAAGGTAAAATAATGGGTCTCACACCTGTAAAAAACAAAATATTCTTCTTTGGTTCTGAGCATGGAGAAAATGAATTGCACTAATCTAACATTTTACTCACATTGTCATCATCTCCTAATAATTTATATATGAACACACAATATTGTATCAGTAGTATAGAGGTACTTCACATTTGGACGTTAGGCTGGGTCAATCGTTATGTAAAATATTTGACGATGTGAAGTATGGAAAGTATTTGAATCTTTATCCCAAATTTACTATTGTTTCTGTTCAAATAACTGCCTGCAGTTATTTGAAACAAATTTGAATGTTTGTGAATCTGCATGCATATGAAATTTGATCGTCATCAAATAGGAAGCCAAAAAATGATCACCCATGTTTAGGCATGCTAAAAATATGCAAATATAGCTCTCACTTACCTGTAGATTTCACCAAGGTTTTTTCTAACTCATCTGAGTGATCTAAGCTGATCACAGCAACTCATCTGAGTGAGCTGATCACAGGAACTCACCTGAGTGAGCTGATCACAGGAACTTATCTGAGTGATCTAAGCTGATCACAGGAACTCATCTGAGTGATTTAAGCTGATCACAGAAATTCACCTGAGTGATGTGAGCTGATCACAGGAACTCATCTGAGTGAGCTGATCACAGGAACTCACCTGAGTGATCTAAGCTGATCACAGGAACTCATGAGTGATCTAAGCTGATCACAGGAACTCACCTGAGTGATCTAAGCTGATCACAGGAACTCATCTGAGTGATCTAAGCTGATCACAGGAACTCACCTGAGTGATGTGAGCTGATCACAGGAACTCATCTGAGTGAGCTGATCACAGGAACTCACCTGAGTGATCTAAGCTGATCACAGGAACTCACCTGAGTGATCTAAGCTGATCACAGGAACTCACCTGAGTGAGCTGATCACGGGAACTCATCTGAGTGATCTAAGTTGATCACAGGAACTCATCTGAGTGATCTAAGCTGATCACAGGAACTCATCTGAGTCATCTGAGCTGATCACAGGAACTCATCTGGTGATATGAGCTGGTCACAGGAACTCATCTGGTGATATGAGCTGATCACAGGAACTCATCTGAGTGATATGATCTGATCACAGGAACTCACCTGAGTGATCTGAGCTGATCACAGGAATTCACCTGAGTGATCTGAGCTGATCACAGGAACTCACCTGAGTGATCTGAGCTGATCACAGGAACTCACCTGAGTAATCTCAGCTGATCACAAGAACTCACCTGAGTGATCTCAGCTGATCACAGGAACTCACCTGAGTGATCCCACCTGAGTGATCTCAGCTGATCACAGGAACTCACCCGAGTGATCTCAGCTGTTCACAGGAACTCACCTGAGTGATCTCAGCTGATCACAGCAACCATTAACTTGTGTGCGTATCATGTGTTTTATTCATAACATTGCTTCTTAGATTTGGAGCGCAATAGAAGATGGGAAACTACTACGCGCAACCCAGCTATTTTCTTGTCCAGACACATTGTGAGCAGTCTACAACTGGATGCAAATACACAGAAATCAGCTCAGCTGTTGTCATGGTTTCCTATATTATCTAGACAATGGGCTGCTATAAGTCACTTCAAGACATCGATTCTGCAGGTAAAGTTAATTTTCATCTTTGTATGTAATTTAGTGGGAGTGAGGGTGGAAGTATGTCATTGGTGTTGTCGTCAGTGTTGTTAACATCCATGTTACAAAACTTGAGGAATCATCAGTCACTTTAAAATGTTGATATTGGCTTGTTGTAGATATTTCATGCATAATTAAATATGGGACTAAATGAATAAAAAGTCATAATACATTCAGGCAGTATGAGTATGCATTAAACTCTGCTATGGATTAGTTGGTAGAATTACTGTTTATTTGTAGTATTTTTGTAATAACCTCATAGTATAGCCATTGAATTGATGTTTAGTTACTTTGATCAATGTTTTTTTGTTTTTATGTCATCAGAGTTGTCGATCAGTTCTTAAAGACGTGAAAATGTCAGAACAGGTCAGTAATTTGTTATATTTTTTTTTTTAAATTTTGTTATCATATGCATATAACCTAAATGGTGGATTATTGAATACAGTGAAAGTGAATTAATGAAACATTGATATTTCGCTTTTCCTTGTTGCATTTTACCATAGCAAATTGTATTACCGGGTAATATAAAAATTAAATTTTTTTTCTCTTGTTTGTAGGCAATAGCTGAAGCACTGTGTTCTATTCTTTTGTTGGATGACAGTTCGCCGAGACAGGTCTTCACAGAGTTTCTCTTAGCAAGAAAGGTGAGCTTACTATTTTGTGTGATTCTTGCAAGTTTCAATTTCAGTTGTTAAAAGAACTCCTTATTTGACATGTAAATTCAAATCACATTTATACCATTGTCAATTTTTAGCAGTCCACACCATCTACAAAGTTATTAGTCCCTGTTTCGGACGAAGCTGAAAATGGGGACTTATAATATATTTTCTGTCCGTCCATCTGTGTGTCTGTCCGGAGTCATATTTTAGAATCTTTTGGACTGCTCAAATCTGGCACATACTTTATACATGTTAGGATACATGTCCATGACAATTTGTTTCAAAATCGGATCAAGGATGGCCGATTGACAGCCATCTGACTTTTTGGCCTTACTACTATATTTCCAAGATTTTCATTCTTATTTGGCACATACCGTAAAATCTGTATTAGAAGCCGCATCCCTAATATAAGTTGCACCCATTCTTTTTGAACAGTTTAGAACCCAAAATTCATCATTTCTCATATGTGTAGATGCTCTAATAGAAGCCGCAGCCCCTCTGTTGCATTGTACCATTTTAATAGAAGCCGTGGTTTCTAATACAGATTTTACAGTACATTATACATGTCAGTTTGTTTTATAAACAGATCAAAGATTGCCGAATAACGTCTGTTTTTATTTTTGGCCATATTACTATATCTCTATCACCCATGTATCATTTTCATTGATATTTAGCATGTCATAAATGGATACATGTACATGTCAATTCAATTTGCAATTTGATCATATATGGCTGACTGGAGGCCATCTTGTTTGTTTAAAATGTGATAACTTGGATATGCTTAACATTTTTGAATCAGACTTATGCCTAGCTTATGCTTATTCAACGCATTATTTTGAACTGATATTTATTAAAACTGCAAATTTGAGGACACTGCCTTCACCATATTATTCAACACAAGAGGGTGCTTGACTTGTAGAAAGGGTCTATTAGCTACTTTATTCCAGAACTGACAATACAATTACAAAGAGTTGCAATGGCTGTATTCCCTATCCCAGAATCTCAAATTCATGTCATTACACATATGTTACATTGTAAGCCCCATGTAAAGATTTATTGTAGGGCACCATGGCAACAAGCATTCATATTCATTCCCATCCTCAGACTTGCATTTTTCCAAACGTATTTTAAACAATTTTAGCAGGTGCAATAACATAGACATGCACCTCAATTTGTTTTACTTTCACTTGTGATCTATGTTTTAATTTGCTATGTCTTAAACCGGAGGGATCATCACGCAACATGTGTTCGAATTTGATGTAAATTAACAATCTGTTGTATATGCCACTTGGGACTCAAGTTTCAAGGACACGCTCGCGACAACCCCTCTGCTTTAATATGGCGAGCACAAAGAGAACTTTCAAAAAATTAACGAGGATTGTGTAATTTTCGATGACTTGTTCTATAAAGTCTGCTTCTCTCCACATGAAATGTAAAAAACAATTGACAAACCTTTTGATCAAAAAATAAAAGCAATATCTGTACTTGTCTGTATGGTCTAAAATAATGATAGAATTTAGTAACAACTTCACAAAATGTGAAAAGATTTGCACTAAACTTTGGCAAGAAAAAATATCTGCTGAAATTCTTCTCTTTCCTATGATTTTAATCTTCTGAAGGCTATAACATTTTAGGAAAGATTATGCTTAAGCATTTTTGAAAAAGTCTGAAAAAAAATTATGTGTGAGAAATGTTGATATTTGCGCTTCATGGGTTAAATGTAAACCCATCTCTAATTATTTGTTCTTTACTTTTCACAGAGTGCTGTTCAGCAGTTCTTCCATCCATATCAACCTGGTAAGAATCCTCAATATTTTGACATTTGACAAATAGCATACTATTCCATCCATCAGTATGTTTTGATTGAACTATATAGTAAGCTTGGGACACTATACCAGCCGTCAGTGGTCTTTATACCAAACAAACTGGGCAATATACCACCCATTAGTGGCCTATATACCAACCAAACAGGGGACATTAGACCATTGACACATTTCTTCATTTATATACTACACACATGTACACAACTATTACTATTTTTTTTTTTAAGGAATTGGTATCAAATCTCAAGTATGCGGTGTGATACAGCTAATATGTACAACTGTACAACATATATACGCTGTGTTTTATAACAGCCCAGATGATACAGCTGGTAAGAAATAAAAATGTTATTAATAATTATAATAATAATTTTCAGACAATAATCACCCAATAAGAGTGTAGAGACTGGCACAGATTCTTCCATGTGTCACAGGAAATGCTGATTGAATAACAATTTGCCTTTGCATGCAAAGGTAAAAGGTAAAAGAGGGTGCTAGAAAATGGTAATCAAATCTGAACTCCATAAAAACATGTCTTGTCGCTGCAATGCACCATGCTAGTGTATTTTCAGTTATTATAAAAATATTGAATAATCAAAAAAATTTATTTGAAAAAATAATTTAGAATTTACTATAAAATAACAGCATATCAATTTTAATCGCCATCACAGAATTATGCTAAATAAATTTTTAATTTTTTTAAATCAAGACTTAAACAATTAAAAAATATAATAAAATAATAAAAAGTGCCTAAAAATGTGGTAACAATTGTGTTCAACAAAGATGAATGTCCGTCAGACAGCCACTTCTACTGGCAATGTGTTGCAGAATAATGTTACTTTAATTTCTTAAGTCATTGTTATATTTTTTTTATCTGTAGCTCATTGTAACCTGCTGTTAAAAATTGTTGAAGAAGTGACTGATAATAGTAATAAAGGTAACAACAGACAACAGCTTCATTTTCACCTACCATGTTGCTCCATGGGAAACGCATAGAAACAAAAAACTGTATTTAATGTTTAGGTGATCATTTAAAATATGACTTTTTTGCGTCAGTGCATGCACTACTAATAGAGCAATTATGGTAATTTTATTTATTTATTTTTTATATTTTTATTTTTATTTCATAGCCTCTGTAGTAATAGTAATTAAAAGTATTGAAAATCAGTGTGCCCTTTAAACCGATATGATTTGCTGTGACGCACAGATTTGTAGTAATTCACTGGTGCATCGTTGACGCAGCAGAAAATCATACATTAATATAGTGATCCTGATAAACATCTCACTATAGCTATCAAATTTGTAATACGGTAAAATTAAAGAACAAGTTGCTGACTGTGCAGAC